AAAATATCTCCCCAGATTGCTGTTAAAAATGAGTTAAATTCTGGACCACTGGTATCAGGATTTTACTCCCAAGCTCTGCCTCTCCTCACCTTCCTTCTGCATCACAGACACAGGACGTTTTCTTACAGTGGATTTTCTATTTCCACAAGAAAACTGCCCCAGAATCAGAGGCGGACCAGATCCCAAGAGCCACCTGCACACACACACCTCAAGAACGATCCCCTTTGTTTGTACAGATGCTATTGTGCTCATGTTGCTCAGGAATCACTCTAACATCTCCATTTATACCTGGATCCTCTCAAACTTCAACCATCTTTAATAATTTTTGTGGCCATGTAAACATGACAGAATCCATGTTGGATCTGAAATACATCAGGTCAAAAGCTCAAGTGTTGATGGCCTGGATCCACACAGAGTGAACAGGGAAAGGAAAGGTAGTGAAGATGTAGAAAGTACTTTTCTGGAGGTTACATTCCTCTCAAATAGATATTAAAGCAATATTACAAACAAAATCAGCAATGTGATCTGCAACGGCGTGTCCATTTGTCTACGAAAGTGAGAGGAGATTATATTAAAGGAAATTTTTTAATCTACACAAAGCACTTTCACATTCTCCTAATTACAAAACACACAGTTGCAACACAATAAAGTAATTGTATACTCAATACAGAAATCAATACATCTCTTACTAAAATGGAGAGAGGAAAAGAAAATTAGCAGGCTAATGCAAGTGAACTCCTGCAAGTGTGCATATGGGGAAAATGCTACAAACTCAAAATAGACTCTATTCACTAAAAAACCAAAATTCAAGATCTTCTGCACAGCTGTGGAAGGCAAGGCTGCAAGCTAGTGTGAAAAAGCCTGACTCACTTGTCACTGCTGCCATGCAAAGACTTTGGGAAACCAGTGTTAGTCCAAGAACTGAGAAGCCTGGATGCATTTTTTAGCTTTTTTCACTCTTTTTAGGTGGCCAATCCAAACACCTCTGGCCCCATTTATTCTGTTGCCTTTGGACTGTATCCTGCCTCTGTTATCTATCCAGTACTGCACCTGCTTGTTCCCTGTCTGGATACAGCCCACAGTTAATCTGGAAAACCCGAGGCTTTACCCTGAGCAATCCTTCTTACCTTGTGAAGCCTCAGGGTCAGGTTTTTCATTTGTACCCATCTGTAATGAAAGCAAATTAAACTGGTAGTTTTCCAGCTGAGCAACCTGCTGCAGACCTCCTCTGCACAAACACTCACACCTTAAGGATGGAGATCTTTTAAAGCTTTATCATTCCGACTGTCTGAATAGTATTAATAAAAATAGTGCATCCTATCTACTGACCAGCTCAGTCACTCGGCTCCTACAGCTTGAAGGTTGAATAGCCTGACACATGGTTAACCAAACGCAAATCAGCATTGACCCAGTGGTTGGTCTGCACTACACAAAACACAAGGGTCAGCACCAATGCTCCTAGCTGGGCTGCATTTCTGCAGTTGGTTTTCACGTACTGACCAGGATGTTCTGGTGCAATCATTACAAACCCAAGCATAATGCAGCAAAGTCACTAGATGAGGAGGAGGATGGTGATGGCTTTGCCATTGCAGGCAGTAATGATACCACTCAAATTTTCTTCAATGGGGAAATAATCTTCCCCTGCTGAAGCTGATTATATAATTACAGTGCAAACAGGAGTCCATCTCCTCTATCACACTGACAGAAAAAATGGAGAAATTCCAATCAAGGTAATGATGTTCTTGTGGATTTCTAACAGTGAAGCAGAACAGAAATAGACCCCTAAGAGGGTAAATGGTGACCATGTAATTTTAATAAAATTGCTCCCATCAACACAGCAGAACCTTTTCTAACCCAAACTAAAAGAATTCAAACAGACATTATGGAAAATCTCCCTCAGATTGTCCGCAATTTTAAGAGCAAGGGCATTCTGGTATGGTCTAATACGACTAAACTCCTCTACTTTTACAAAAAAAAGACTACAGAATATTAACTAACTTACTGTGAAACTTATCTTAAATCAAAACTATCCTGAACTTACCAAAGGAGGCAGCAATTCGGAAAAGCACTTTAGCACAGGCTTAATAATACATGCATGTTTGAATGTTTTGCAATAATGTAATTGCATGTCTGGACACTTGGTAATTTACAGGTTTGGCTTTTAAAAGTTGGTCTCCCAATTTGCCCCTGTGATTTAGCAACATTCTAGCCATAATGAGCCATAACAATAATTTCTGCAAGGAAATATACTAGTACAGCAATTGCATGGTAATTTATGTGAAAACTCTTATTGTAATGCCGTATCATAATAGGCACCTGCATATCTGCACCTGGTAAATTAAAGTGATACCAATACATTTGATAAATAAAAAATAAATTACAGACTATGGGAAAAATATCACTGATCACACCAATGACCTAAACTTGTTCTCTAGTTACTGCCGAGGTCTGGAGTCATAGTTAAATATAGTATTTCTCCACCCTTCAGAGAATTACAAAATAAACTTCTAACAATCACTTGTAAACAAGTTTAAAATGCACAATTATATTTCAGTAGTTTATTCTGGAGAAATAAAGCAGTGCAAAATAGGCCAACCAAAATTCAGAAGGCAGCCAGGAAAATAAAATTCTTATTTGATGTTCTAACTAGGAAACAGCATACAGACTTTTCCATTGGATCCAACACTCAGAATCATGTAAACATACTTGGTTTGAAAGATCTTGCGTTACTAACCCAGTTCTCACATCATTGCTTCTTCCCCACCACCCAATTAAAAACAAACACCAACCACGGAAAAAAAAAAAACAACACAAAAACCCCCAACCAAAACCCAAACAAACAAACAAAAAATAAACAAAACAAAAAACCCAAGCCAAGCCATTGTTATAAAGGGAGAAAAAGGCAAATCTACAAACACTCCACCAGCTGGCTACAAGAAAGTACCATACAAAAATATGCACTGGCAAGTTCCTTCCTGAGGGTATCTTTTGTTACACGTGTAACATAAAAACATTTCTTTATTTTAAATAAACAAAAACAACCCCCAAACTGTAGATGTCAAATTTATTTCGGTCATGGCTTTACGAAAAGTTTGGTCTGTCAGGAATACCTTTATAAACCCTTACCTATGTACATCTGACTCACACCACAACCACTCAAGATCTGCAAGCTGCAGACAATGTGGGATCCAGCAGCTTCAAAGCATATAAGGATTGTGAAGTGCACCCAGCTCAGAACTCATCTGCAACAGCTGAGGAAGTCGGCTGCATTTACATGCATCCTGGAATTTGGCAGATATCACACTCATAAGGTCCTTCCAGTCTCTACAGAAACATCTTAAAGTTAGTAACCCCTCTAAAGGTGGAATAACTTTTCTTGTGTATATCAGCCTTGCAAATCCAATCCTGGCTACAATAAGTTCCTAAAAATGGCATTTTGGGAATAAACCAAATCTCTCCAATGACAGAAACACTGTTTACACAAAAGAACTGCTACACAACACTCCTCAAAACTTTTTCCCCTCAAGGACTGATACAAACTGGTAGGGTAGCAACATCTTTTACACAGTTTCATCTTCTCTCCATGGTCTACCTGGGCTTTAAGCTCTAGATCCTTTCCTTTTGAGTAGATATCTAACACATGATACTAACCAAACAGGTATTAAATGCTGCAGTGATGGATGCTTTACAAATACCTGCTACAGAAAGGCAGAAATTCCTGTATCTGCAATCTAGAAGCTTAACTAAAGAAATTTTCTTAACGCTACCCCTCTTAAACACATAAAATATGTTATAAGCCCTAAAAGGCTTATATAAGCCCTGAAGGGCTTATATGGGGAAGGCCACTGTCTACCAAAATAGTGTCTCTGTTCTCAGTGCTGACAGGCATACATACTTCCAGTTTAGTGTTCAGAATTGGCAAAAGTTGCAGGAATTCTTGACAGAAGATGCTGCCATGCTAGAAGATGCAATAGAGGGTGAACACTGTAAGTTTACTGCATATCTCAAGAGATACAAATAGGCTGTGGTGTAGTTTACAAATAATATGAACTGCTATTGTAAATTACCACACAGCCTCATCTGGCAGCTTGCAACAAAATAATGTGGTCTCTAAGCTAGAGCTGTTGTGCACTTCAACCTCATACAAAGGTACACAATTCTGCTTATTTAATTTGCAAAAGAAAAGAAAATGCACAGCAGTATGGATCTGTGGAAGGCAGCAACTGTGATACCCCTTAGGATCTGCAGATCAGGTGCACTGCTCCAACGAAATGCGTGGCTCTGCAGCCTTTTCACAGAGCTGTCCCAGTGTCCTCAGAAGTGCAACGGATGGAGAATCAATCTAAGAGATGAGCTGCTTCTATTAACTCTTCTAGGACTTCACCACTAGCAGATAATTTAATTAAAAGGATTACATTTAATTTACTGAATCACTCAACCTAACTATCAGCGTCCTGTCCGGATCGAACATGTGCCGCTATTGGCAAACATGGTTAGGAGCTGCTTTTGATTGAAGCAAGGAGGCCTGGGGGAAAAACTGCAAGCTGCAACCGGAGTGATCACCTCCGTTCTGCACCCTGCTCTGTCCCACCCAAAGTGCCACAGCTTTACAGCAAGCTACCTGTCGATATCTTGACTGGTCAATGTTTCCAGAGATTTGGTTTAGTGACACTGAAGTTGTCTTAGTTTTCTTTTGCAATGGACTACCTGGAAAAAGGAACAGGGAATATTTTAGGCAAAAATCTCTCCTTTGTTGCATTCAGACACTGCATTCAACATTATTATCTTTGTGAAATCATGAGGTCCGATTTTAAAATGCTGGTCACCAGTGATTAAAAAGAGCAATAGAAATGAAAGAGCAACCCTCCCACAATGAAAGGACTAGTGTTAAAACCCACGTGTGTGTAAACTCACTATAGACTTGCAATTGGAATCTGATGAAATGGATCTGAATCACTTCTTGCCCTCCCCCTTTCAGTCCATTTCATCAGCCCATTAGGTTAAATCAAATGGAAGGGATTTTCATTTTGTTTTTCTACATTGTGTTTTGTGTTGTGGTTTGTTGGCTTTATTTTGTTTTCAATTTCACATGTACTGTTACAGCCTGATCTGGTTGTGGGACCACAATTTGTATCCCTGTGGCTTTTTTTCAGTCCATGGCATCAGCAAGTTATTGAGAAGAAGCTTTTGTTGCCAACGTAGCGACACAGTGCTGCTGGAAGCTGGGGGACACTGCCGAGTTGCAGCCTAGTCTCTGGTGTTGCAGTTTTACTGAGCTGTTGGTCTCACTTTCCACAATCCAGGAGGAGTCTTTTCCCATGACGCTGAGACAGCCTGTGCTAGTGCAGCATATCCGCTCGTCCATGATCCCGCTGGTCTGCTCTGCCAGGAGCTTGCTACGGTTTAGCTGTGTCACCTCAGGTGCCTGACCCTGCAGGACAGCAGCTATGTGGTTCAGGAGATCTGTGAAAAATTCAGAAACGCCCTCATAACCTGAAAAGAGGAAAAATGAAGGAGAGAAAAAAAAAAAGCAATTAAGTCATTTTGCCAAGTTCCTTGGAAGGCTTTTTCTACCACTTTATTTCCTGGGCTGTCCTTGTCCTCCAAGGACAAGGCTTCTTTTCCACAACATCATTTTGAGTGACTGCCTGAGCAGGTTAAAGAGGAACAGAGACCTTTGCTACAAAAACACTTTTGTTCAATCAAAAAAACCCGTCACCTTTCAGATTTTCCGTTTCTTTTTCCTCCCAAGTATGTATGTGTACACATAATCTTAGGTATATTCTATCACTTGTTGCCAAGTCCAGGTTTTTCCCTGAATTACAAACTTTGTGGTGTAACATTGATCTTTTTTATTCTGATTCCAGGTTTACAATGGAAAGTAGCTCTAATTCAGAGTCTCCTTGAGGGTCTGAACTCTCTCTAGAATTTCCCCAGTAATGCCCTCAGTTAGGAAACCTCAGACTCCAGCGTGGCTGGCTTTATACACTGCAGAAAAGGGACCTTCCCACGGCGCAAGCATGTGATGCATGTCTAATCTAACCTAACTTGGCACCTAAAACATGTTCCTGCTATGAGCAACGTCTGAAAAAGTGCTCAAGGGACAGCAAGCATGTATCAGTGATATAGTATTGGATTGAAACATCAATCTTGTATTTCAGTACTGAAACCACCTTTCCACGTGTTCTGTTAAGTGACTCCAAACAATCTGCAATGCAGAATTTAACAACAAGTTTCCTGGTTAAAAAGTTGCTCAAATACTAGGAGATGTGACATTTTTTAGTGACACAAAGGGTGGCAGTAGACATACAGAGCTTCTGGCTCTATTTTAAACACTCTGATACAGCCACAGCTTTATCATTGCATTCATTTTATAACTGAAACAGACATGCAATGTATTGGCACAATGTCTTGAAATGGATACTGCATTACCTAAAATTGTTATAAATTTGATTGAGTATGTAGAGGTGTGTCCTGGGTTCAGCAGTAGCAGTCATTTTTTCTCCTTCTTCGTAGCTGGTGCAGTGCTGTGTTTTTGAGTTTTGGCCTGGGAACAGCGCTGATAACACCAATGTTTTTTAGTTACTGCTCAGATGTTTAGTCTGACCAAGGACTTTGTGAGTGTCATGCTCTGCCAGGGAGGAGGGGAAGCCGGGAGGAAGCAGAAACAGGATACCTGACCCAAACTGACCAAAGAGGTATTCCATACCACAGCATGTCATGGCCAGCATGTAGAACTGGGGGCAGTTACCTGGAAGGTTTAGAGCACTGCTTGGTTGGGCTGGGTATCAGTTGGCGGGTGGTGAGTGGTTGTATTCTCTTCCCTTGTTATTTCCCTTATCATTATTATTATTGGTGGTAGCAGCAGTGGTTTGTGTTATACCTTAGTTACTGAACTGCTCTTATCTCAACCCGTGGGAGTTACACTCTTTCGATTCTCCTCCCCATCCCTCCGGGAATGGGGGGAGGAAAGGGGGGGGGGGGCAGTGAGCGAACTGCTACGTGGTACTGAATTACGGCTAGGCTTAAACCACGACAAGGTGACATATGACATTCAGTGTATTTAATGGGATAAGCTGATTGTTTGAAAATGTCTACAAAAGTATTCTGAAGGTGACCTGGCATTAACATAGGAGACTGAAGCAATAAATAACAGTTTAGAAGTCCCATGTGAATAGCACACATTCACACAGCAGTACATGAGCATAACCAGAGACCATAAAGTACATGCACATTTTAGAACACTTTTAGTGAGTGATCGCAGGGCAGAAGAGTCCCTCAGATCCATAAATACTACAATTTTAATCTCCATTCTCTTGTAAAGACCAACTTTCTTAGGCTATAAAAACCCAAATTCCTGAAAAAATTAAGGAAGAGGATAATTTCACCTTAAGATAAATGTGGTGATTTTATGGTGCATTTATAACCATTACATTAAGCAATTAACTCTTATTTAGGCTGCTACATTGCTTTGGATTTTAATGCACTTGGTCACAGTTCTAGACGCTTAACAGGTCACACAAAACACCAGCAATGTGAGACAACTGCTCCCAGTTTTCCTTTCTCAAAAGGCCCTTAAACAGGTTCAACAAACAATTGGCCATTTCAAAACATCAACTTTCCCACTTCCCCACACGATAATCCATTGGTCTGCAGGGGGCAACTAGGACTCTTACAGCCAGTCAAGGGAGCCAGAACAAGGTCTCCACCTCTTTGACAGAGGTGCTTGTTATGCTTTTTTGCTTATGTAAAATCCAAGGGATTAGGCTTCAAATCTACTCAGAGTGCTTCAAACACCCCGGGGAATAAGCCATCTCCATAGTAACAGCTTTAATATTCAGCGAGGAGATCCCTAGTACCCTGGAGTGTTTCGTGTCTACTCACTGAAAACAAACCAGCCTTGTTTGAGGGCACCTGGTAAACTTAAAAATAAGTTACTTTAAATATTTAATGGGAATAAGATGGCCAGTTATTTAGTTCTGAAATCAGCAGATGTTACGGTGCAAGGAAGCTGTATGTATCAGGCAGGCTTCCTCTGTGCAAGCCCTCTGCACACTGAGTGTAAAGGGCCAAGTAATTCTGCCTGGTCACTCAGAAGAAACTTAACACACTTGTAAAAAACAAATACAAAGAAGGGAGGAAGAGAACCATGGTATCTCAGCTCCCAAGCCACAGGATGCTGGGGAAGGCTGCAAAGTCTGTGTATGTTACCTTACTCTGTTAACTGGGTGCTGCTGCAGGCCTCTCAAAAAAGGCAACTGTGGGCCATCACTGTGCTGTGGCGATAACGAAATCAAGAAGGGGAGATTAAATTACACCTTCAGAAACTACTGGCAATGAACTCTGGATTCATGTCACACAAGGCATCAGTGGGAGGATATAAGTTCTGCATGCCTCAAAGCACAAGTTGCATGAATCGTGCTCCAGCAGGTACTATCCTAGCACTGCCCACTGAAACTATTTTGGAAATGCCTGCCTGTAAGAGGCCTGAATTTTGCTATGCTGAAAACAGTCTCCAGAATCTTCTGGCTGAGCATGGATAGGAAGGATGTCCACCTAGCAATGCATCTGCAAACAAGTACAATGTAGACCTGTGCATAAGAAGCTTCCCCATGCTCTCAAGCCTCCTGCAAGGACTAACACACTCTATTAATTTAATGCCTCTTCAAAGACAAACTACTGCACAGATTAAAACACAGGATTTGGGCTGAGTGTCAAAAACTATTGCCTTAGGGTACAACAGAGCATGAAGCTGAAGGCAGTTCAGCAAACTTTTGCCACATCATGAAGACATTACTCCTGTTTAACTAGTTAGTTTGCCACTAATTGTTCCCCATTTCAGCATTTCAAGAAAAGGGGAATTTCAGCAGTCTGTGCAAAGTACCAAATCCAAAACAATACTCGAAAAAAACCCTAACAAACAAAACCAAGACAAGCAAACAAACAAAACCAAACCACCTAACCCCAAAACCAAAATCAAACCCTCCAAACACCAAATCAAAAAGCAGGATGCAGGATTTCAAAAGAATGTCCTGTATCTCTGACTTCCAAGACCCAGTGTCTGAAATATAAACCTATTCATAAAGCTGACATGGTACCATCTGACATCCAATTTAGGTTGTTTCACTGTCTTTGCCAGAAGACTGTTTTCATAGGTATGCAGATTGCATCAACACCGTACGGTAGAACCAAGCTGCAAAGTGACCCGCGAATAGCAGAATCAGAGTTTTAAAAGGAAGCCAGTCACTGTGGAGATAAGACAGCCAAGGTACTAAGGGGCAGCAGTGGGGATGAAGAACTGAACTGAAAGATTTAGATAACTGGAGCTCAGGGCAAGATCTCTAGATGTAAAAATACTACAGCCATATTGAAAACTCAAGGTCTTCAATGACAGGTTAAATAAACTACGCAGTGGCCTATATACATCTCTGGTGACAAGAATCACTATTCAGGTAATGAGAGGAGATTCTCAAATTGAAAAACCCCATACAAAACAGCATCAAATGAGATGATGTATTCTTTTACCATGTTAGGCTACGAATATTTAGCACAAGTGACAGAGCATTACTGTCTCCCCTTATACACACTTACAACTCCTTTTAACAATTCCAGTGGTCAAGGAACTTGTTTAGCTGTTTCCAAGACATATGTTGCACTAAAAAAAGGGAGGACAAATTTACCTGTTTTCAAATGCTCCATTTTATTGTTTTACTCCAGGATGCACTTTTGAGAACCTGTGAGAATATTCAACTTTTTACAGCAACTTCTCTGCACCTGCAGTTTTATCATTATCATCACATTTCTGGTGCTATTGCTTTGTGCATAAACGTCTTTTTGTGGGGACTCAATTTGCACAGGAAGAGATTTTCATGGGAACAGTTTGCTACTTCCACCCCCACAACACTTTTAATGGCACAGAGTCTGGAAAAAAAGAAATCGTAAAAGGCTCTCCTAAAACAGAATTTCTTCTTTTCTCTATAGAATGAGGGACAGGTCCAGAAAGGACAGGCGCCAGCACACAGTCTCACGCTCCAGTTCCTGACCATCCCTTTGCAAGGAAGGGCATGACAGCCATGTTACAGCTGGCCACTAAAATTTGACCATATCTCTTAAAAGATGATATTTCAGTAGCACATTCCATTTCTAGATTAGGACTCTACCCTTCTCAAATCAAACAGCATCTTACCTGAGACCAATTTGGCTGCTGCTTTCCTGTCCCCCACCTGGGGAGCAACAATGTGAGACACCAGCACCAAAACTCCATGCTAAGTACACATGGCACAGTTTCCACAGAGCATGAGTGGATAAGCCTTTCTCACCTGGGAATGCATTTATATCAATGACGGCATGCTGCCCAGTCTGATTGTTAATGATGATATCAATTCCAAAGAGGGAAACGCCCAGAGCTTGTCGCAGAGCCTTCGAGATTTCCCGGATGACGTCATCATTTGGCCGCTCAAATACTCCTTCGATTTTATCCAGCTATAGTGAGTGGGAAAAGGCACATTACTGAGGGACTCTGAAACAGGCTTTTTTTGAAAGATTGATTTTCAGAGGTTTCCAGGTGCATATCCAACAAATCTAATTGCAGAGAACCAGTGACCAGAAAGACACCAAAGAGAAACTGCTTTCATAACTCAGAATCCTTCCTACATTGGAAGTTCACTTCCTCTAAAGTACCTAGTTCTTCCTCTTCATTCTGGTGCAGTTCTTGAGCGATAGAGCAGTGTAGGAATAAATGAAGACTCAAAATATTTTAAGTACTAGATCTACACCTTAAAAACCAAATACATCTGGTGTGTTTAACCCCGTGCTGCAAATATTCTGCGTATCATTCCGTTATTTCAATGTAGAATAAGACCTATGTTAAAGTGCTGATAAAACAGACTCCTGCTATTAGTTTAATCTGAGACATACAATTCAACTCAGCTGATATCTTCAGGGCAAAGGCTAATTCAAAGAGCATATCTTTTATATGGGTTTCATGTATAAAATATTCCATAAAGATTTATTACAATGAGTAACTCAGGTTAATTCTGCCTGATAGATGTACCTTTCTTCACTTTTTAAACATGTTAAGCAGCCAAAGTACACTATTAGGTATACAGAAGCATGTATGTGTATGAGAGAGATGGCAGGTAAATCACAGAGCATATACTCTAAGTTTCAAAGTAAATTTAGCCATAAAGGGATTTATGACTAGCACAATTACAGTTTTAATATTTTGCATGCCTATCGGTGTTGTATACAAAATTTAATCATTGCCAACTATGGAACTATGCCCCAGTAGAGCTTGTGAAACAGAAAAGAATCTAGAGATTCAGATCCGGAAAGGACCCAGTTCTGTAAAGTGACTTTCTCAGCAGTTGAGTGCCCAAGAACTTGTTAGGATTCATACGTGCAAAGCCTATTGAAAAGACTGGCAATGCAACTGTGAAACTGTGCAGCGTGCTGGCACTGATGGACTCGGAAGACACCCAGAAATGGTCCTGTGGTCACAGCTTGGCCATGCTCCCACCACAGACAGCTAATGGCGCTTTGTGTCCCTGCCCAATGTAATTTCTCTGCTTGAATTTTCACCATTTGTCTTTCCTCACAGAACTGAGTCCTGGAAGGATGATTCATGCTTATTAAGCTCTTTGGACAGGAAAAGACCAGGTGTTTGCATTCAAAACTTCCTCATTCCCCTTGCCTAGATTAGCTTTAGGGAGTTTAGGTCTGGCAAGCAGCACAGCCCTCCTGCATCAGTGCTTCCTCACCGGAGCTCGGTAAGGAAAACCAGAGGGGGACACAGTCATGCTGGCTCGTGGTACCAAACAAACCTCAGCCTGTAACACAGAAGCAGACAACTTGTGAAGGAGAGTCACTAGCTGCTAATGCTTCGATAAGAAGACTAGGTAAGTTTTAGAGCCACTCTAGAGGAAAAAAGATCAAGTGTACTTACTGCTGTTAAGACAGATGAGGATTCCGGTTTTGAAACATTGTGGCTGTTGAAAAATATTGATTCTCTGTCTGGAATTAAAAGCAGGTTGTAAATAATACACCAAATTTTACTTTCCACAGGATTAGTGTAAGGAACAGTAGGTGTCACTGCAGACTCGGGAATCCAGTTTTGACCCCTACTGTGCAGTGCCCATCACCCACCCCACCCGCAGGGCCCCTCCTGCCTGCTGGCACTTAGCTGCCTGCTGGCACTTAGCTGCCTGCGCAGGCAGTGGTCACCCACGGGTTTTGGACCTTGGACCACAGATAAACAGAACTGCACGGGGTTAAGCAGGAACCGGTTTCCTTTCCTTCACCTGAGCAAATTCACTAAGTTAAGTAAGATAATTAAGTTCATTTCTACTAATTCGTTATACTCAAAGTGACAGTTCCAGTGGGAAAGTGTGATAGAAAGGAGAAGCTGCATTCACTGCAGGCAGTAGATTGATAACGCGTAGGGTACACTGAGATCCCTGTGAACCTGCAGAGGGCACGGCCACCATGGAGGAAAGCAGTAAATTTCACGGTCAGGACCTGCCTTCCTTTTGGAGGCACCACAGGAATGCAGGATGTATCCTGAGGTGACAGAAGCCACGAACATACTGGGAGAAACATACCAGCACCTCCCAACCCACTTGCTCTGTGCTGGAGGTTTTACTGCTGGGGAGAAATCCACCGCAGGTCTCCCCTTGGAATTGTCACCACAGCAGACTGATGGCATTGTACAGACAACCCACATGGGAATGCCCGAGTTAAAGTCTCAGCACCCAGGTGTCAGCAGCAATACAGTACTTCTGCCATGCTGGTCTCTCTGAGTGGATACTTAAGAGCAGCTGTAGGTCCACATTTGATAAAGATGGGGAAGCTGTGAAAAGCAAACCCAAATCTACTCTGCAGTCTGACAGCAGCATATAACATTCTTGCCTTTCCTCCCATTTAGAAAGGCCCCGTACTGTCAGCTCTTGAAGTATCTCACACCTGCCAAATCTGCTTAATTGTCAGATCTGCCTTGTCAGATGCCTGTAGCACAGCCCCCTTAAATTCTCCTGATGAGGATAAAAAAAGTCAGACACTTACCCTAATCTGCCCAAAACCCTCATTTTTATGTGGGCTTCTAGACAACTTTCAAGTCTTACATTAACAGATGAGACATTAGACAAGGAATTTTTAGAAAGATGCCTTAAAATGTTCCCTTCCAGAAAAAGTACAGACCAACTGTCACAATAGTTTACACAGATTCTGGCCTACTTCATTTGGTCAGGACATAGAGCAGACCTAAACATAAACACAGGTACACATGCCTACAGACAAAGACTTACCAGGATCCTACTGTACATATACTAACAAAACACATATCTGTGTGCAGATCGCAATGGTGAACACATGTGGACATACTAGTATCAGCAGAAAACTAATAAAAGTGACAAGAAACTGGCATTTGTTCATTTATCTCCTTTAGTTCAATACCTTCTCCTCTCCCATTCCTATCTCCTGCATTTGTCTAGTTGCAAGCAGATCATGCTCCCATTCATGCACTACTAATTCCTTCTCGCTTCTGCTGGACCACAGAATGCAGTTCTCCGGAAGGGAGCTTTTTCCCATAAAGGAAATTTAAGCGATCTTTAATGAAAACCCTTCAAGTGTTGCTTTCTAGTGACATTTAGGAGGATCACTGTCCTCACTGACAAGTCCATTCATCCTTCCTAGCACAGCTGGTATCTACAAACCAAATGATATGGTTTACAATAGTGGGCCTCACACGTATCGAGAGGCTCATTCAGGGTAGAGCACAAGTGATCTTTAATTTAAACACACATGCATAATCAAGGTAAAAATAGGGAGAGGAAGTTCTGAAATGATGGAATCCAGGAAATTCTCTTCAAAGCACATTTATAAACAAACTCTGGAACAAATGACACATAAACTTACTGTAAAACAACAATTTCTCTCCTTCTCCCCCTTTCCACATGACATAAACTACTATTTCTAACAGGTAAGACTCAGGTTACCATTGCATAAATATTTACTATACGAATGTCATTCCTATGTATTCCAGAGCAGATGAGTTCTCTCCCTCCCTTCCTATTGAAATAATACAGAAGAGGAAACATGGTATGCAAGGACCAGCTGCCTTCATGTCAGCAGCCTTTTCAAAGATACTTTTGAGCTGTTTGCTGCCAAGGCTCCAAGAACTGACATCTCCTTTTAAATGGGTACAGCATACCTGAGATTCCTGCAGAGAAGTTCTTTAAAGATGGTCTTTTCACCACTGTGTAGGATTCCCCAACCACGAAGACTTTATACAGCACGGCATTGTGATTGATGAAGCTCTGAATGACACAAGGGGGGTGAACAGCTTTCAGGCCCTCCTGGTTGAAGATGATTGCCATCTGGAAACAAGCATATGCAGTTGTGCACAAGTTTTTCAATAATTTCATGCTTACTCACTATATGACCAGCACTGAGGGGGAACATCTACAGGTGCATATATACTGACCATGCATCAATTCCTTCTCAGCAGCTAGTCCTATTTCATTGCATTTCATTTCACTGATACACAACTCTCCATAAGCTTTCATTTTCAATAAACATTTTCTTCTCAGCTCTTTGCAATTTCATTTGCTACTTCTAGTTGGGAAGCTACTGCAACTGCAGGTGCAACAAAAGGGTGAAACATCTGATCAACACAAACAACAAAGTTTGAATTGAATACAAGAGTGCATCATGAGAACAACAGAAGGAACAGCTCTGTGTACTAACTACAAGATCTTCCCCACAGCTCTATTTCCTGGGGTCTGGTTCAGTCCAGTTGCGATGGCCTAAGCACCACGGTTTCACCCACATCTTCAGAGAACATTTTTCAGACTCTAGTATTTCTTGCTGGAAACAAATGCTGGTCTAACAACATTCCTGGTTTGGTTTCACCCCATTACTCCAAATGGTTAGTCCTCTTGAAGGCACTGGAACAAATATGCCAAAAAGGAAGGCATTTATAGGGCCTGAATGATGAATAGCTGCCTCAAACAGCATAGAAGCAATGCTGGTAGGTGCACAGAAGTACTTTGACTAACCAGCATATCTCCAGCATATGTTCTTACACTGTTCTTTCCATCAATTCCTCCATTACCATGCTTAAAGGCATATATATAATTACCATAACCACAGTGCTCCATTTTGCAGGTTTGTTGTTGGAGTATGGATGCTGCCATGGCTCCAGTGCAGAACCAGCAGCAAGCACCATTCTGGCACAGGCAACGAAATTACTTTAAGAGATGCGCAGAGTATCATGATGAAACTCAGAAGCCCAGATATTTGCCAAAGCTCTTGTTTCTTTGGCATTTCTTTCCCTAGAAAGGGTTGAGCCCTGCAGGTACAGAGTAACGCATCATCATGGTCCTTCATGTCAGTGAGAGCCAGTGCCTGTATTCAGGGTGGAAGGAAAACCCTGATGAGATTTCACTCAGGAGACAGCAGTGAGCTCCCCTCTGCTTGGGAGTTTGGCTCCTTTCATTCTGGAGCAAAGTCCAGCCCAGGGTGTGCACATCACATCAAGAAAAAGCTGATGAGACCTCAGGGACAGTGGGCTCTTCAACAAGCACAGCAGCTGTGCCCATGAAGGGTAGATAGTCTTGGTCTCATTTTGAGAGGGGAGGTTGTACATATTCAAAGTTAAAAGTCTGACCACATTTTTGTTCTTGCTCCTCCTCGTCTGGTAGACCACATGAGATCACATTGTCTGCATGCATGTGTAATGACTCAGTAGACTAACATTTTCTGAGTTCAAGTCAATGCATGCATTCAATATGTACTTGCAGCTGATATTCTTACTCTGTCTCTATTATAGCAGATGCTATCTATCTGACAGTGCAGTGTAAACTTGTGAGTGGTAAGAACCTGTGCAAGAAACCTACTCTAACCAGCAGAACCATCTATCAAGATGATTCACAGCAACACTGTACCTCATTTGTCTCTCAGTTGTGGCAAGAAACACTGCTGTCTTCTTCCTTCTGTGTAGACTGTTGGCATTATAGTATCTACAACATCACACTGCCAAAACCTGTGCTGTTCCTACAGTGTTCTCTTCAAATATTAGTTTTGTATTTATCCTATTTATCCTATTTTGTAAGTATGGAAACCCAGAGAGTTTATCTTCTTGTCACAGAACTGACCTAGGCTACTGGAACCCATGTGAAAACTCTCTTCTGCAAAGCTCTGTGCCAATGGCCCCGTGGACTAGCACACAACCCACACAACTCCCATAGTGTTGTGTTATGCTGGTTCACTGTGATGTCTCACGGATTTTCGCATGCATGAATACAGCTCCAAGAATTTGCTTGCAGGGTGCACTTGCTCTTTGTCATCTAGCACAGACCTGCTGTGTCTGGCAGTAACATGGGAACAATATAATATCCAAATAGTATTCCTCATTACAAATGCAGAGCTCTTTTGAAGGCAAAACAAAACATTTGGCACCAACAATTTTTACTGACAATATCCTTAAGGAACTCAGTCTCAAAACCCACAGTGATTCTCTGCCTTTTCATTCCTGTCTGCTTAAGACTTAGAAATATGTCATCCTGGACACATTTCTTCAGGTTATGGGTCTCAGTGATATCTCGTGGCAGCTTTACCAAATGTCAGTTATGTTCTGATGGCAGTCAGGAAGGACAACCTTCAGGCATCATCTCTGTTCAACTCTAACAAATAGTGCTGATACACTGGGATTCAAGTCCTGAGCTGGCCAATGTGACTTCTAGTGTAGAGGCCATATAGAACTGTGGGACATCACAAGACAACTCACTAACAGCACCTTGGCTTAACTAACTTGTGTTTTCACTGCAAATTGTGCAGTCTGCCAGCTCTGGCTGGCACCAAACCCAAACTCCAGCCTGCACCTTCAGCTGTCCCTGTTAGCCAGTACTTGAATTTTCTGAATAGTCATCTTAGGAAAAAAAACAGGCTTCTAGTCAGGCTGTGCTCTAGTTCCAGTGTCAGCTCTGCAGTGGGAATATCTCTACAGAAGATGAAGTGATACACCAAAAGCCAGAGGAGTCAGTAATAAAACAGGCAACAAATTCTTCTAGGCAGCATAGGGTTCTAGGCCTATGCTCCATCTTTTAGACAGACTATACTGTAAGCAGAGTATTTATTCTACACTTCCCTTGCCATTATTTACCATAAAATAGCAATTACCATTACAGTTCCTCTCTGATGATAAACACACTTTTGGACTACTCTTGAAAACTCAGTAACTCCAAAAGTGACTACTACTACTAACTATGTAAAGTACCATGCAAGACTTCAGGATTTTTTCCAGGGGTCCTCCTAGGCTCCAGTCCTAAGTTCCTGTGATAAAGTGCAGCCTACAGCTGTACTGTAGTCTAATTTTTGCTCAGAAAATGGAATCCTGGCAGGAAGCTGAGGTAGGTCTGCACTGTATGAAAGGAGAGCAAAGAAAGATTCACCAGGGACATGAACTCTAAGCCTGACTGGACAAGCACTGAAAGATTCATGCATTTCAGGTTGCAGTGAAACTTTTGACAAAAATCATCAGGGAAGCTGAAGTCTTACATTCATTAACAATTCAGTCCCCAAGCATTCTTGGGAATGGTAGCAAAAATTTATAGCAGCAGCTTCAGCAAACTAACAGGACTGTCTGTCAGCTTGTGAAATGATCCAAGCTAAGGCCTGCATGAAAAATCTCACTGCATTTTTAAAAGGAAGTGCTGGTTACTCGAGATTTCAGACACAGCCATTCTGCTCATCTAAGATTTACATTTTACTTCATGGCCTTCAGCCCTGAAAGACACTGCAGCAACGTACTGCACGTTTCAGAAGCAGATGGAAAACCTGGACCAACAACCACGCGTTAACAAAGGAAGCCAGGCATTAGGAGGGCCAACAGCAAGGGCTGGATTCTCAAAACTGAGCTGTGGTAAGCAGGAAGGCAGGAAGCACAAACGGAAAAGAATTAAAACAGGACCCAACTCACCTAAATTTAGAGGAAGCTAGGCTCATTGGGAATGCGCTCCTTCCAGGAATACACAACCATTTTAACTGCAATTGCCTTACGGGAAGGAGTGAAGGCAGATAGTTCTACCAGCCGTGTTCTCCCCACTGTGCCAACTGTGCTATTACAACTCAACATGTTTGGAAACTGTCTGTGTTTTCTATTACCTTCCCCTCAATAAGAGGACCCAGATGCTTCATCTGCAGCACAAACCCACTTCTCACCTGTACCACATACATGTCGGAGGAAACACATGGTGGAGTGGAAACATCACTTAGTGTGACCTCCCACCAAAGGAGAGGCTGAAGAAGATTCTTTGCAGACAGAGCTGACTGGAGACTACAAACTGCTAGATAAGAAGGAACTAGATCACAGAAGCTAGAAACCGCTAAAAAGAACTTCCATGGTGTAATTAAACATGAGGGAGAGGTGGGGTAAGGGAAGTCATTTGGGCATAGCCCTCATTCTGCCTACCACAGGATCAGAAAGCAATCACCAAGCCTGGGGGACTGAAAGCAGGTGATAACACTGCAGAATTTTTTTAACTCACCTCATGAGAGTTGGTTCCATGGGCCACTCTGGTTTTACAAACTGGGTAAATAAAAAAAGAGAAAAAAAACACAATGCACCACTGAAACAGGACACACAAAGCCCTTAATAAATCTGTTCCTACCCACATGTGCAAACACTGGAGTTCACCAGATCAAAGTATTGACTTTATGAGATACCAGTGAATGTCTCTGCTTGAACAGTGTCCCCAGTCACTGCAAAGCTTGCTCCAAACCCTATTCTCCCAGCTCCTCCCTGTAACCAACGGGCAAGCACAGGTAATTACTGGGACTGGAGAGAGGTGCAAAGGATCACCTAAGAAATTAGTATCACTACTTGTATTGTCATCCTGATACTCAGAGGGCATCTTCAGAAGTATGTAATTTTGCCTGAGGCTGGAGCTACTTTACACCTACCACTGTCCTGAAAACAAAGGAACTGGGACACAGCAAAAAACTTATTTTCCTACCTCCCTCTTTTGGGGGAAGAGCAGGAAACAGAATGGATTGAACCAAACCAAGATACAACATAGTTTTTCCAGGCAGCCATAGAGGGGGGGCATCAAGGGAACAAACACCAACTGATTCTGCTCACTTTATACTGTAAGGAATCAAATAAAGGTATGAATTAAAGCCCCATAATAAAACTTGATACAAAGCACAAACAGTTCATAGCAGCTGTTTGAGGCTGTGGGCCCTTGGAGCCTGCTATGTAGATTAAGTTTTTACACTCTTTCCTCTACCTTCTTACATTTGTACCCTTGACCAGGAAAAAGGAGGGGTGGGTGAAAAAAGCAGTTAAGTCAGTAAGGCAGTGATTTTCTCAAAAAAAAAAAAAAAAAAGGAATGCAGCTGGCAAGATAAAATTCTTGCACAAATTCAGGGCAAGAGGCTAACTTTGTTAGAACTATTAGCATTTCCCAGGAACACATGTTTACAGTAGTGACATGTTTAAAGAAAGGAACATCAATAAAAGGCAAAGTAAAAGCTGATAGGGAGGGGTTTTGTTCCATATTCCAAGCAGACCTCTTCAGAGTGTTTGTTTCAGCAAGGTTTTAACGTCCCTGACATGTTGGCAATGAAACTCACACTCCTACAGTGTTGGCTATGCCTTGAGGGGTGTATGTGCAATATTCAGAACCTACTAAAAGCGACAAGGAAGAGTCTGTGTACATACTGAATGGGAATGCCAGTCCATTCTTCTCTATAAGCTGCAAGGTATCTTCTCCACAGGCACTTGTCAGCTCCATAAAGGGTGGTGAACAAATCCTCTCATCTGCAAGACAAAAAAGGAAGACTCAGTGGTGATGAGGGGTTTAGCTTCTCAGCTGCATCATTACCAGTTCTCTCCATACTAACTGCTTCTTGATAGTCAGCTTTACTTTAATAGTTGATATTAAAGCACCTGAAAGATTATCAGCCAGGCCTGAACTTGGGTTTCTGGAAACATTTCAGAAGATGAAAGGCCCAACTTTCAGATAATCTAAATGGAAATATAAAGCCCATATTTTCAGTTAGGCAGCAAAAACCATCAGCCGTTTAGGAATATGTAGCTGTAAAAGACTTAGCCAGTGAGGTGAAAAGCCATTGGGGTTATAGCTCTTAACATTATGCTTTCTGGTCTGCTCCAGACCGTTTCTGTGATGTGAACATCGTGCTTGTTCACATGGGGTTGAGGGACCCAGACCCCATCCCTCTTAGTGACTCAGTAGGTTGAACTGCTCTAGAATTCACATCCTGTTCACTGTAGGAGAACTTTGATTCCCCTAGGAATGCAGCAGAAGAGGGAGGAAGCACTGTAGGAATCAAAGTACTTGAGCATAAATCTACATCTCTCAAGAGGGCTGGGTTGCAATTTCAAGTGCAAAGAGAACCTTAGCTTCAGCCACAGCTCTGGGACAGGTCAGCAGGCCCAAAGACTTTCAGATGAAAGGTGTTCCCACACTGACTAAGTCAAAGCAAGAACATCCCCCAGTTAAGAGCAACAATCCAGCTCAATGAGCAGTCTTAAAAGTACTGCCTCCATGGAGTTTCAGCTGTGGCTGGGTTAACTTTAGAGATACAAATGAATTGTAACTCAAGTAAGCTGCGCAGTACTGAACCGCAGTTCAGAACTGGCCTGCCAAAACTCATTTCTAAGACTTATTTCAAGAGAAACAGCACAACACCTTCCTGCAAGAAGCAACAAGAGACCAGCACAAATGATTGGCACGACTGTACCCGCAAACTAAATCACAGGTTTATGTCAATCAGCAACTTGTCTTGAAAATAAGGAGAATGTGACTGTTATTACCAGCCACCCACATCTATGCCAGTGAACAGAGAACCCAAACGGGTGGAGGCTATGCTATTGAGATGGTGCAGAAACTGAAAAGTACATGCAAACTAAAACTCCAGCAAAACTAACTATGTATTGAGAGCACCATGCATCCAGAAACCACTTTATGAGCATTGTTTAGATTAGTATTTTTCACTTCATTCTAAGTGTATGTTTATGCATGTTTCCTCTTCGAAAACTAAATCACTGAAAATACGAGAGAGGCAAAACTCTATTTTGGTATACATATCTCAATACATGCTTCAAAACTCTGTGAGTTATCTCAGAACTCCAGCCACTGGCAATACTGTTGCTACAAGAAGTTTTATGTGAGAAGACTGTTTTCATACATCCTAAAAGGAACAGAAAAGATAGATGCTTTGAGGTCAACCTCTACAAAGCTAAACAAAATTGCTGAGGTGAGTAGCTGAATTGCTGAGGTGATTAGCTCGAGAGAGGATGCCTTCAACACCAGAGTGGGGGGAGGTCAGCATCCAGGAGCCTCAACTCAGAGCGGCAAGAGCCACCGAGGGAGCCTCAAGTCCTCGACAGGACCTGCCCGGGAGCCGGCAGCTCAGCTGAAGCGAGCAGCTGACTCACAGGGGATGGAGCCTGAAGCAGCGGCACCAGCCATGAGTGGATAAAAACCTGCCCCAGGGAGCTCGTCGTATGACCAGGGTCCGGTCCGACAGCTCTGCTCTGGCTGCCCCGGCAGTGGCCAGCGTAGGCACCCAGACAGAGCCGATGAGAGGGGAGGCTGCAGTACAGAGCTCGGGGTGTAGCGAGTGCCTGCACTGGTCTGGTGAGAGGAGGATGCACAATGGGCAGGGCTGCACTCGGTGCTCCCTGGTGGAGGTCCTCCTGCAGCAGGTGGCTGAGCTGCGGGATGCTGTTAATAGGCTGCGAGATGTCAGGGAAGCTGAGAGTAAGCAGGAGTGCTTGCTCCCGGCCCAAACTGTGCAGGGGCCTCGAGCTTCACCTCTAGCTCATGAAGAAGGAGGCCGTTAACCTGGGAACCTGGGAATTAGTGACAAAAAAAAAAAAAACAACAAAAAAAAGAAGGAAAAGGACAACCAAAAGCGAGGGGCTTCCCCCTAAATCCCCTGTCTCCACGCAGAACAGCTTTGCTGTCCTGCAGGGGGCTAATGAGGAAGCGCACTCGAGACAGAAACAGCCGGCTGATGCCCTGGTAAAGAAGATCTCTACTGGTGCTGCTAGGAAAAAGCGGCGGGTCGTAGTAGTAGGGGACTCTACACTGAAAGGGGCAGAAGCACTCGTCTGCCGGCCAGACCCCGCCTCAAGGGAGGTGTGTTGCCTCCCGGGGGCACGGATCAGGGATGTGGCAGAGAGGCTGCCTGCTCTAGTAAGTCCCACGGATTATTACCCACTCCTGGTGATACATGTGGGTGCTAGGGACATAGATAGTAGTAGCCTGGGGAACATAAAGGAGGACTACAGAGCCCTGGGGGAGGTGGTTAGGGGCTCTGGAGCTCAGGTGGTCTTTTCATCAATTCTCCAGGGTACAGGGGAGGACCTAAAGAAAGCTAGGAGGATTAGCCAGGTTAATAAATGGTTAAAAGGGTGGTGTCATAGTCAGGGATTTGGGTGTCTTGAACATGGGACCCAAGTTTGTAGGCCAGGTCTAGTGGGGGCTGGTGGAGCTGCTGCTAAAGGGAAAGAGCAGTTTTGGTAGGAGGCTTTCCAGACTGGTCAAGATGTGTTGGGGGAGGGGGGCATCATTCCATTCCAACACACCCAGCCAGTTGCCAGCACCTATAATAAATGCCTGGAGCAATGTAGAGATATCCCAGCTGCTCCAGCCAATGAACCGGATTCAGGTGGAGCTCAGCTCAGATGCCTCTATACAAATGCCCATAGCATGGGGAACAAACAAAAGGAATTAGAGATGTGTGCACGTCTATGGGGGTATGATATAATAGGCATCACAGAACCATGGTGTGATGGCTCCTATGACTGGAGTGTTGGAATGGAAGGTTACAAGCTCTTTAGAAAAGACAGGTCTGGCAGGTGGGGAGGGGGAGTTGCCCTTTATGTTAGGGATAGGCTGGAGAGTATGGAACTCTGTCTGGGGACAGGTGAGCAGTCCACAGAGAGTTTGTGGGTCAGGGTTAAAGGGAAAACAGTGATGGGAGACATTACTGTGGGGATCTGTTACAGACCGCCTGATCAAGGAGAACCGGCGGATGAAGCACTCTATAGACAGATAGGAAAAGCCTCACGCTCGCAGGCCCTTGTTCTCATGGGTGACTTCAACCACCCTGACATCTGTTAGAAGGACGGTACGGCCCGGCACAAGCAATCCAGGAGGTTCCTCAATTGTGTAGAAGACAACTTCCTTCTGCAAGTAACAGAAGAGCTGGCAAGGAGAGGTGCCATGCTTGACCTTGTGCTCACCAACAGGGAAGGGCTCATTGGAAATGTGATGTTCCAGGGCAGCCTTGGATGCAGCGATCATGAGATGCTCGAATTCGAGATCCTCAGGACAGTGAGAAGAGCGTGCAGCAAGCTCACTGCCCTGGACTTCAAGAGAGCAGACTTTGGCCTCTTCAGGAATCTGCTTAGTAAGGTTCCATGGGATACAGCCCTAGAGGGCAGAGGGGCCCAAGACTGTTGGTTGATATTCAAGGATCACCTGCTGCAAGCTCAGGAGTGTTGCATCCCAACCAGAAGGAAGTGCAGCAGGAGGGCCAGGAGACCTCCTTGGATGGATAAGGAGCTCCTGAGGAAAATTCAATTGAAAAAAGAGGCTTATAATAAGTGGAAGCAAGGACAGGTGGCATGGGAAGAGTACAGGGATGTTGTCCGGGAAGCTAGGGACCAGGTTAGGAAAGCTAAGGCCCAGTTAGAATTAAACTTAGCTAGAGGTATTAAAGATAACAGGAAGGGATTCTACAAGTACATAGGAAATAAAAAACAGACTAGGGAGAATGTAGGCCCCCTCAGGAAGCTCTCAGGAGAACTGGCTACACAGGATTTGGAGAAGGCTGAGGTTCTCAATGACTTCTTTGCTTCGGTCTTCACTGCCAAATGCTCTGACCAAACCACCCAAGTCTTGGAAGGCAGACACAGGGACTGTGAGAATGAAGACCTTGCACCCACTGTAGGGGAGGAGCTGGTTTGAGACCATCTTAATAATCTGAATGTGCACAAGTCCATGGGACCTGATGAGATCCATCCGCGGGTCCTGAAGGAGCTGGCAAATGAAGTTGCGAAGCCGCTGGCCATCATATTTGAGAAATCGTGGCAGTCAGGTGAAGTTCCCGATGACTGGAAAAAGGGAAATATAACCCCCATTTTCAAGAATGGGAAAATGGATGACCCGGGGAATTACAGACCAGTCAGTCTCACCTCTGTGCCTGGCAAAATCTTGGAGCAGATTCTCCTGGAAGGCATGCTAAGGCACATGAAAAACAACAAGGTGGTTTGTGACAGCCAGCATGGCTTCACTGAGGGGAAATCCTGCCTGACAAATTTGGTGGCCTTCTATGATGGGGTTACAGAACTGATGGACAGGGGTAGAGCAGTTGATGTCATCTACCTGGACTTGTGCAAAGTGTTTGACATTGTCCCACACAACATCCTTGTCTCTAAATTGGAGAGACATCAATTTGATGGATGGACCACTCGGTGGATAAAGAACTGGCTGGATGGCCACACACAAAGAGTTGTGGTCAATGGCTCAATGTCCGGCTGGAGACCAGTAACGAGTGGTGTCCCTCAGGGATCGGTGTTGGGACCAGTCTTGTTTAACATCTTCGTCGCTGACATGGACAGTGGGATTGAGTGCACCCTCAGCAAGTTTGCCGATGACACCAAGCTGTGTGGTTCGGTTGATACCCTGGAGGGAAGGAATGTCATCCAGAGGGACCTTGACACACTTGTGAGGTGGGCTGATGCCAACCTCATGAGGTTTAACCATGACAAGTGCAAGGTCCTAC